AATGGACTTACAGGTCCAAGAAGCGCAGAGAACCCCAAACAAAAGGAATCCAAAGAGGACCACACCAAGACACATCATAATTAAAATGCCAAGAGCAAAAGACAAAGAGAGAATCTTAAAAGCAGCAAGAGAAAGAGACTCAATTACCTACAAGGGAATACCCATACGACTGTCAGCTGATTTCTCAACAGAAACTTGGCAGGCCAGAAGGGAATGGCAAGAAATATTCAAAGTGATGAATACCAAGAACCTACAACCAAGATTACTTTATCCAGCAAAGCTATCATTCAGAATTGAAGGTCAGATAAAGAGCTTCACAGATAAGGAAAAGCTAAAGGAGTTCATCACCACTAAACCAGTATTATACGAAATGCTGAAAGGTATCCTTTAAGAAGAGGAAGAAGAAAAAGGTAAAGATACAAATTGTGAACAACAAACATGCATCTATCAACAAGTGAATCTAAGAACCAAGTGAATAAATAATCTGATGTACAGAATGAACTGGTGATTATAATGAATCAGGGACATAGAAAGGGAATGGACTGACTATTCTTGGCGGGGAAAGGGGAATGGGAGATGCGGGAAGAGACTGGACAAAAATCGTGCACCTATGGATGAGGACAGTGGGTGGGGAGTGAGGGCGGAGGGTGGGGCGGGAACTGGGAGGAGGGGAGTTATGGGGGGGCAAAAAAGAGGAACAAATGTAACCTGAACAATAAAGATTTAATTTAAAAAAAAATATTGAGATTGTTTTTAAAATATTGGGTAAAGTATGATAAAGTCACTCCCGCCACAGGAGGAGGCAAGAACAAGTCTTGGAATGAAGACGTGTATTATACTCAGTGGTCTCAGAGAGGGTGTCACTTTATGCCACACAGTGTCACAGAGGAAAACACCAAGATGGTGGAGAGGCAGAAGGGACAGGAGCCAGTGGAAGGTTAAGGCAACAGCCTTTATTAGGGTTCTCAAGGGAAAGTGAAGGCAGGGCAGAGTAAACAGTTTAGGGTTAAGCTAGTTTGAGTTATTCTGGAGGGCTTTGGTCTATAGGAGTAGTCTCTGGTTGCCTACTACATGGCCATGGAATATTTCCTCCTGGGGTCTACCTACAAGCTAGATAGAGGAGATATGGCTTTTGATTGGTTAGTTTGCATATCAAAGTTAAGCTCTTAGGCAAGTTATCTTTAGGAATTAGTAGGCCTGAGAGGGGCAGTCTCTCCCTGAGTCTGTAAGGCTCCCAAATACCAGAATATCAAGAATATAGAAAATAAGAACGTATAGTTAGTTTAATTGGCCCTGTGATGAATGAATGCAAATAGATAAATACATGTACAGAATCTAAGAAAACATAGAACAGAGATTCCATGTCAGATTTAATTGTAGGAGGTATGCTACAATCTTAAAAAAAATTTGTGTGTGGTAAAATATAACAAAATTAACCATTTTAACCATTTTGAAGTATACAATTAAGTAGCATTAATTACATCTACAATGTTGTACCACCATCCCCACTATTTCCAAACTTTTCATTACCCCAAACAGAAACTCAACCCAATTGGCAATAATTCCCCATATCCCCCTCCCCAAGTATCTGATAATCTCTAATCTATTTTCTGTCTTTATGAGTTTGACTACTCTAATTACCTCATATAAGTGGAATCATATGTTTGTCTTTTTGTGTCTGATTTCTTTCAATTAGCATACTATATTTGTAGCATATGTCAGACCTTCATTTTTATGGCTGAATAATATTCCATTTTATGTATATGTCACATTTTGTTTATTCATTTATCTGTTGGTGGATACCTGGGTTGTTTGTTTGTTTTTTTAAAATATATTTTTATTGATTTCAGAGAGGAAAGGAGAGGGAGATAGAAGTATCAGTGATGAGAGGGAATCATTGGTTGGCTGCCTCCTGCAGGCCCCCTACTGGGGATGGAGCCCACAACCTGAGCATGTGATATTTATCTTTCTCTGACTGACTTATTTCACTTAGCATGATACTCTCCAGGTCCCTCTATGCTGTCTCCAAGGGTAAGAGATTCTTTTTTACTGCTGCATACTATTCCAGGGTGTAAATGTACCACAGTTTTTTTATCCACTCCTACTGATGGGCACTTGGGCTGTTTCCAGATCTTAGCTATTGTAAATTATGCTGCTATGAACATAGGGGTGCATATATTCTTTCTGATTGTTTGAGTTTCTTAGGATATATTCCTAGAAGTAGGATCACTAGGATAAATGGCAGTTCCATATTTACTTTTTTTTTTTTTTGAGGAAACTCCATTACTGTTTTCATAATGGCTGCACCAGTCTGCATTCCCATCAGCAGTGTACTAGGGTTCCCTTTTCTCCACATCCTCACCACCATTCTGATAGGTGTGAGATGATACCTCAGTGTCATTTTAATTTGCATCTCTGATGATCAGTGACGTTAAGCATTTTCTCATATGTCTCTTGGCCATCTGTATATTCACTTTGGAGAAATACCTATTTTGGTCCTTTGCCCATTTTTTAATTGGATTGTTTATCTTCCTTTTGTTAAGTTATATGAGTTCTTTATATATTTTGGATATTAACCCTTTATCAGATATATCATTGCCAAATATATTCTCCCATACAGTGGGCTCCCTTTTTGTTTTTTTGATGGGTTCTTTTGCTGTGCAGAAGCTTTTTATTTTGGTGTAGTCCCATTTGTTTATTTTCTCCTTAGTTTCTTTTACCCTTAAACTAGATTTTTTTAATATATTTTATTGATTTTTTTACAGAGAGGAAGGGAGAGGGATAGAGAGTTAGAAACATCGATGAGAGAGAAACATCGATCAGCTGCCTCCTGCACACACTCTACTGGGGATGTGCCCGCAACCAAGGTACATGCCCTTGACCGGAATCAAACCTGGGACCCTTCAGTCTGCAGACCGACGCTTCTATCCACTGAGCCAAACCGGTTAGGGCTAAACTAGACTTTTTAAAAAATATTTTTTTATTGATTTCAGAGAGGAAGGGAGAGGAAGAGAGAGATAGAAACATCAGTGATGAGAGGGAAGCATTGATTGCCTGCCTCCTGCACGTTGGACCAAGCCCGCAACCCGGCACGTGCCCTTGACCGGAATCGAACCTAAGGCCCTTTGGTCCGCAGGCTGATGCTCTATCCACTGAGCCAAACCAGCTAGGGCTAAACTAGACATGTTTAAAACAACACTGTTTTTACTTGAAAGAATGACTGACATAAAAACTCATTATTCACACTTAGGTATTGGGCAGACATTTTCTTAAAATGCAAGAAGTAAGTCAGGCTCCAGCCAATTTGGCTCAGTGGATAGAGCGTCAGTCTGCGGACTAAAGGGTCCCGGGTTCGATTCTGGTCAAGGGCACATACCTTGGTTGCAGACTCCTTCCTGGCCTGGGCCCTGGGTGGGGTGTGTGCAAGAGGCAACCAATTGATGTGTTTCTCTTACATCGATATTTCTCTCAGTCTTTCCCTCTCTCTTCCACTCTCTCTAAAAATCAGTGGAAGATATCCTTAGGTGAGGATTTAAAAAGAAAAAAAAAGAAGTCAGTATTTGTTGCCAATGATAAAATTTTAGCTTCCAAGCAAAAAAAGAATTTCAGAAAACTTATATCTACCACTTAAGCTCAACAACTTTCCAAAAAGTTTGTAATAGAATAAAATGGGGGTGGGGGTTGGGAGTGGAAGACCAGCATAATAAAAATGGTTAAATTATGATACATTTATGCAGTGAAATAATGTAACAAGAAAAAGGAATGAAATACAGCTCCATAAAAAAGGTGAGCCCTGGCCTGTGTGGCTCAGTTGGTTAGAGAGTTGTCTTTTGCAACCTCGGCATATCGGGATGACACTCTAACCAACTGAGCTACCCAGCCATTGCCCAGGCATATTAATAATATTCTAGTTCTTAGATTTGGTGGTGGGTTTACAGATTCTCACTGTATTATTTTGTTTGGTAACAACATTGTTTCCTTTTGTATGTATCAAATATTACAGATTCATTTTAAAATTGGGTCCTTTTTAAACAGTACATGGTATTCCACTGAATTTGTATGTACTATAATTATTTCATTTGGCTAGGTTAAATATATTTGAGTTTATTGGGCAAGTCATATAACTTCCTCATCATGGAGGTGATCATAGCTTATGAGCATTTACCATATTATGTTCTAAGAAGTACTTCACATGTATTAACCTATTTAATTTTTCTCTCTCTTTTTTTGATTTGAGAGAGAGAAAGCAACGTCAATTTTTTGTTCTGTTTATTTATGAATTCATTGGTTGATTCTTGTATGTATCCTGACCGGGAATCAAACTCACAACCTTGGCATATGGGCCGACACTCTAACCCAGCGGTTCTCAACCTGTGGGTCGAGACCCCTTTGGCGGTCGAACAACCCTTTCACAGGGGTCGCCTAAGACCATCCTGCATATCAGATATTTACATTACGATTCATAACAGTAGCAACATTACAGTTATGAAGTAGCAACGAAAATAATTTTATGGTTGGATCACAATATGAGGAACTGTTTTTAAAGGGCCAGAAGGTTGAGAACCACTGCTCTAACCAACTGAACTGCCCGGCCAGGGCACTTTTCTAACAACTCTATGAAGTAGGAACTATTATGTCCCTGTTTGAAAGCTAAGATCCTACAGCATAGAGGTTAAAGCAACTTATTGAAGGTTTGCACAGTTAAGAAGCAGAGAGCCAGAATTTGAACCCTCACAAACTGCCTCCAGGGCCTGCACATTTAACTATTATGTTTATATCAATTGCTATAATTACACTTAATTTAACCAGCTTATTATGATTAAAGGAAACTGTTTTGGTGGTGGTAGAGGTGTCAAATGTGGTTAATGAGATTATTATGCTTCCTTGAGAATCTGTGGTCTCCCTGAGTAAGGGAGGGTGGGTAGAGACAGGAGCCCAGGGAAAAGGAAGTGTCTTCTTAAGAGCCTTTGCCAATGTGTTTGTATTTTCTCTCCTTCTAGAGACCATGGCAAGCCCAGGGAAAGACAATTATCGGATGAAGAGCTATAAGAACAATGCCCTAAACCCTGAGGAAATGAGGCGAAGAAGAGAGGAAGAGGGCATTCAGCTTCGGAAGCAGAAGCGGGAGCAACAAGTGGGTTAACCCGAGTATTCTTTATTTTTCAAATTTATTCTTTTATATGTTTTTAGAGAGAGAGAGAGAGAGAGAGAAACATCAATTTGTTCCACTTACATTTTTTTTTTCCAGAGAGGAAGGGAGAGGGAGATAGAAATATCAATGATGAGAGAGAATCATTGATCAGCTACCTCCTGTGCGCCCCACACTGGGGATCAAGCCTGGAACCTGGGCATGTGCCCTGACTCAGAATTGAACCGTGACCTCCTGGTTCGTAGGTCAACACTCATCCACTGAGCCATGCTGGCCGGGCTTCCCAAGGATATTTTTTCCATTGATTGTTTTTGTTTGTTTTTTTCAGAGAGATTGGAAGGAAGGAACAGGAGAAAGAGAGAGAAACATTGATGTGAGAGAGACACATCAATTGGTTGCCTCCTGCACACGCCCCAACTGGGACCAGGGATCAAACCTGCAACACAGGTACATGACCTTAGCCGTGATTAAAGGGTGACCCTTTGGTGCTCTAACCACTAGACCACACCTACTAGTACCATTGGTTGATTCTTATGTGCCATGTGTGGGGATCAAACCCATAACCTTGGCATATTGGGACAACACTCTTACCAATTGAGCTATCTGGCCAGGGCCCAGAGTATTCTTAAACATATTGTTCAGAGAAAGGATCCAGCTGCCATGATTGGTCTCCACCTTGCACTCTCACCCTCCTTTAGGAAAGTAGCTAAGCTGCCATGTTTGACAGCTTCCTTTGTTGTAAAGAAATGTTGAAAGCTTTGAGAAAGAGAAAATCAGCCCTAACTGGTTTGGCTCAATGGATAGAGCATCTGCCTGCGGACTCAAGGGTCCCAGGTTCAATTCCGGTCAAGGGCATGTACTTTGGTTGCAGACACATCCCCAGTGGGCGGTGTGCAGGAGGCAGCTGATCTTGATGTTTCTCTCTCATCATTGATGTTTCTAACTCTCTGTCCCTCTCCCTTCCAGTGGTGGGCGGTCAGGAGGCAGCTGATCTTGATGTTTCTCTCTCATCATTGATGTTTCTAACTCTCTGTCCCTCTCCCTTCCTCGCTGTAAAAAATCAATAAAGTATATTTAAACAAAAAAAAGAAAGAGAAAATCAATCCCTTATTCTTTTTTCATAACAACAGCATCATTTCTGTCTTCAATATAACATTTTGGTTCTAGCCCCTTATTTATTGCCTTCTCTCTTCTTTACCCTAAAGTCAGTGTTAGGCCTGGCCTTCAAGGCCTAGCTCCAAGCCTGACTTTTTAAGAGGTTCATCCGCTATTCTGGGCTGCCTTATTTCTTTTTCCTGGGTCCATTCTTTGTAAGTCTCCCTAGAACTGAGAGTATATTAATAGCTCATCATTTGTGCTCTTTCACATACCCACTAAATTGGTGCCTTGCCCAAACCTACATGTAGTCACCTAACCTGCTTTTGCCTACCCTCTTGCTTTACCATTATTCCTTCAAAGCCTTTTATACTCTTCACCTTTTATACAAAGGGCATTAGAATCTTTAAAGATTTTTTTGCTTATAAAAATGAAAATAGTTAGATAAAATAGAAAGTAAAGCTCTTGAATATCTTTCTATGCCAGTATGTTAAACTTGGCATTTTCTCAACCATGCTAGCATTTCCTTGACAGTTTTGCCATAATTTAACATGAGGTTATTCTTTGTTGTTGTTGTTTTTGTTTCAGTGAATAGTCTTACCACCATCTCTTCTCTTCACTTGCAGCTATTTAAACGGAGAAATGTAGAGATGATTAATGAAGAAGCTGCCATGTTCGATAGTCTCCTCATGGACTCCTACGTGAGCTCTACCACTGGGGTAAGGCCCTTGCTTCGGGCAGGCCTGGGAAGTACCTGCTTCTACAAAACAGAAATTGGGCAGTTCACATCATCTAGTAGTTTTGCTCACAACCATGCAAAGCTCTTTCTTCCACGGGCCCTTTTGTAGTTGGTCAGCTTTAAGAGACCACAAGGATTTATCTCTGATAGAGACACCTTAGGAAACACTTAAAAGGAAGCCATCAGTTGCCTCAAAAGTAAGGAATTATTTTTCAAATGTCCCGACTTGAAGCAGCCATGGATTAAACCAGCGCATTCTCCTGAGCCTGTCTGTTATGCTGTCCTCTTGCCCTCAACTCTTTACAAAGTAGGATGCCACACAGGATTATGTGCTCATGTCTGACTCTAGTGTTGGTTTGCAAAGCCTTGAACCTGTTTTATATTCTAGGAGAGTGTGATCACAAGAGAGATGGTAGAGATGCTCTTTTCTGATGACTCTGACCTGCAGTTAGCAACCACACAGAAATTCCGGAAACTGCTCTCTAAAGGTACAAAGCCTGGCCCACCCCCCAAAGAGACCAACTACATGATTTAGTGTCTTGTTTCTTCTCACCGACCTCATCAACCTACCCCCCTTCACTCATTCTGCTTTGGTGTTTAGAGAAGCCAGGCACATTTTTATCTTTGCACTGGCTATTCCTTCTACCTGATACTCTCTACTTGACATATCTGTGTGACAGCTCCCTCACTTCTGCGATCAGATCCTACCTTCTTGATGAAGCCTACCCTGATATCCTATTTAAAATTACAGGCCTTCTCCCAACCCTTGGCATTTTTAATCTTTTTACCTTGCCCAACCTATTCTTTTTTTCCTCATTATATTTATTACCTTCTATCAACAGAATCTCTCTCCTCACTAGGATGTAAGCTCTGTGAGAACAGAGACTTTTGGTTTTGTTCACTACTGTATCCTCAGTATCTAGAACTGTGTCGAGCACATTGTTCATGGTCAGTAAAAATTTGATAGTAAAAATACTTCTTGTCTCAGTATATGAAGCAGCTCTCCCAATAAAGGAATGCTGGTCTTAGAAGGAAAATGTGTAGACTAGGGTTGCTCATCCCTTGGGCTTTCTTCTCTCCCTTACTTACTTGCTTAGGTAAGTAAGGTCACTTACTTGCCTAGGTTCAATAAGCCAAAGGTGAGTATACTTAAATTAGGATAGGCTTTACTTTTTGGCATCCCAACTGCTTCATAGAGGTCAAAGATGACCAACTGTTGTGAAAACCACCTCACCCAAAAGGAGTTTGAGCATGCTCATAAGGATGGTCAGGAGCATCTAGGAAGGATGGTGAGTTGACCCCAGTGGATGCATCAGCCAAAGCCTATCCTGACTTTTCCTCTTCTTCCTTTCTCCCTCTTCCAGAGCCTAGCCCTCCAATAGATGAAGTTATCAACACGCCAGGAGTGGTGGATCGGTTTGTGGAGTTTCTGAAGAGGAATGAGAATTGTACATTACAGGTGAGCTCTGGGTGGAATGGTATCAGATGAAAGCCCTCCTTCAAAGAAATTGCAGTGGGATATTTCTATAGACACATCTCTTAGGAAACAGACAAGTAATGTGAGGAAACATTTAAGAGAAGCTATCTGTTTGTTGCTCAGAAGTCTTAGCCTCAAATAAGAGAGCCCAGATCTCTTCTCTAAAATAATGTCAAAGAAAGATACCAGAATATAACAGATGGACTGTTCAGTTATAAATCAGAGGTTCCAGTTCACTTCCACATTACCTGTGTGACCTGAGGCAAATTATTTAGCCTCTGGATTTTTTTTCTCAGAAATGGGTGGTGAGTCAGTCTGTTGGAACTTGCTAGAAACTCAGCTGAAAGGGACTTTAAGAGATCCAGCACACGCTAATCCTGGTTTCAGTAATGAAGAAAGTGAACCTTGGGAAATAAAAAAATTATTTGCTAAAGGACTAATTGGTGCTGAAGTAGTGCAGGTCTAGACCTGGACCATTGAGGCCCACTCCTGGCTTCCCATTCTGTTATGTCACTGCCAATACCTCTTCCTACCATTTAAAGGGGGAGCGGAAAAGGCCTGTGTTTTGATTTATTTATTTATTTATTAGTCAGGAACAAGAGGCTTACTGCCTGAGCCAGCTGGTAGGCATAGCTGCCCTCTCTGGAATGACTTCTCAATGATGGTTTAATCTCACTTTCAGTTTGAAGCTGCCTGGGCTCTAACCAACATTGCCTCTGGAACCTCTCAGCAGACCAAAATTGTCATTGAAGCAGGGGCTGTCCCCATTTTTATAGAGCTGCTTAACTCGGACTTTGAGGATGTACAGGAACAGGTAATGCTCAAATTTGGCTTAATTCTTTAAAAAAAAAAAAAAAAGATATTTTTAATTGATTTTTTTGAAGAGGGAGAGGTGGGGGGGGAGCGGCAGGAACATCTATGTGAAAGCAAAACATCAATCAGCTGCCTCTTGCATGCCCCCTACCAGGGATTGAGCCAGAAACCCCGGTGGGAATCGAACCGGCAACCTGTTGGTGCACTGGACAGTGCCCAACAGAGCAACCCACCAGCCAAGGCTGGCTTAATTCTTGATAGTACCTGTGGTATAATACAAAATATGTTTGGTCTTTGCCTCCAGTTCTGACAAAAAGCTCCTAAAATCCTTCGAATTTTCTGAGTGATAGTAGTGTCTTTTGTTATTTATAATGAGCCCTTTTGGAACATACCTGAGTCTATGCTAATGAGATGGTTCAGGGTGTGGCTCCTTAATCTCAGGATTGGGGGGGAAGGGGGTGGCTGGTCATCAGAATGACCAAACATAGGATTAGAGGGTGGGAACTCTCAGCCCCAACTCCCAAAACCTTCCCCACCCATCCCCCCCCAACCTCCCAGGAAGGTTAGGAGAGCTAGAGATCTGGTTATAAAAACTCTTGAACAGCGATTATTTAGAGAGCTCCCAGATTGGTGAACACATCAATATGCTGGGAAGATGGGAAGCCTGGAGAGGACATGGAAGCTCTGTGACACCCCCACTCCTCACCCCATACCTTGCCCTATGCATCGCTTTCATTTAGCTCTTCCTGCGTTGTAGCCATTATAATAAACTGGTAAATAACTAAAGTGTTTCCCTGAGTTCTGTGAACCTTTAGTGAATTATTGAATCTGAGAAGGGGATTGTGGGAACTCTCAAATTTATAGCTAGTGTGTGGTGCCTGGTGTCTAAAGTGGGGGCAGTGTTGTGGACTGAGCTTTAACCTGTAGGGTTTGCGCTAACTCCAAGAGTTAGTGTTAGAATTTAGTTGACTTGTTGGGCACTTGGTGTGGAAAAACTCCACACATTTGGCATCAGAGGTGGTAGTGGAGAAAAGATACCCCTGTACCCACTTCTCAGTACCTACAGATCATAGAGATAAAGATACAACTTCCATTTCTTCCACTGGATATTTGCTGTTGGCTAGAAGTAGAGAGTGGTACTGGGATTTTTTCCCCCCCCATTACAGTAAGGTAGGTCCTGTGAGAATACAAGAGTGCACCTTTTCAATCACTTTCGCCTTTTGTGGGGGCGGGGCTAGAAAGGTCTTGGTTAGGCTTCTCTGGCTGCAGTACAGAGGTCAGCCTGTCTTTGCCACTGAACCAGGAACCCTCATAATAAAGGCCGTCATAGAGCAAGTGCTCATAAAAGACACCAAAAGGGCCCTGGCTGGGTTGGAGCATCATCCAATATGCCAAAAGGTTGTGGGTTTGATTCCTGGTCAGGGCACATACTTAGGTTTCGGGTTCAGTCCCCAGTTGGGGTGTGTAGGGGAGGCAACCAGTTCATATTTCTCTCTCATATCGATGTTTCTCCCTCTCTTTCCCTTCCTCTCTAAAAAAAATTTTTTTTGATCAATTAAAAATATATCCTTGTGTGAGGATGAAAAAAACAAACAAAACTACATTAAAAATAAAAAAGAGTCAACAGAGATGGCACCTGAGCTTATTCAGTGTGTCTTGGGCCTTGATATGGTTTTCATCTGATTATTGGTGGGTACTCACTCTATGGTTGTAAGTATAAAGAAACCATTAGGCTCTGTGGGTGACAGTTTCATCATCCCCTTTTCAGGCAGTCTGGGCACTGGGAAACATAGCTGGAGACAGCTCCGTTTGCCGAGATTACGTCTTGAACTGTTCCATCCTTAATCCTTTGTTAACGTGAGTAATTAATGATCACCTGCACCTGAGGCATCTGTAGGGCAGCCATGTGGTAGTTCTTTTGGGGGAACTTACCTCAAGATGGTAAGTAAAGATAAAAAGTACATTTTGATTGCCAAAGTAAAAAGTATCATTTAAGAGCATGAAGATTACGCTGCTGGTCTGTGCCAAGGTGGATTTTGGGCTTCCTCACTTCATGGCACCGTGGAATCTTATGTTGGTCATACCTGCCTTATTTTTGAGCCAGGGAGAGAGGCAGGATTAACCCATCTTGGAAAATCTAGCCTTCTCTGCAGAATACATTGATTTGCTATGGGTTTATGCATAGGGACATTGGAAAGCTCTGTTGTAAACCGCAGGTCAAAGTCCCCATGAAGGGTCATCTGGACCCTTCCCCCACCCCTTAAAGTAGAGCTACATTACATTTAAACCAAAATAAATGGATGAACTGTTCTTCAGAGAGCACAATCTCATATCATAATCCTCTGGGCATGCAGGTTGGCCTCCCAGCACAAACAGGCTATTAACTTAGGTCTATGGGTAGGAAGAAACTGAGGCTGCTAGAGTCTTAGGGATCTAATTGGATTTGCTCCTGGGGTCCATTGGCAACAACCCTATGCCAAGGACATCATTGCTCAGGATCTGGCTTTTTTTTTTTTTTCTTTCAGGCTCCTTACAAAATCCACACGACTGACAATGACACGGAATGCAGTCTGGGCCCTGTCAAACCTCTGCCGAGGGAAGAACCCACCTCCAGAGTTTGCAATGGTGAGAGAGTGTCTTACCGGTTCCTGAGGGATAGTAGGTTCCTTCATGTGGATGAATTTTTATGTGGGAGTTTTCAAGTCTTTGGGGAACTCCTATGAGTCTCTCAATCTATGGGAGACTGAAAAAGGCTATTGTCAATGAAGTAGGTAATCTTGTGTGCATAGATGGGAAAGTGAAAAGTTAGGCCTGATGGCTTAATGTTGTAGGGATGTCCAGGGCATAGAATTACTTGTAGAGGCGGGGACAGCAGTGTTAGTAGTAGTAGAGCTGATATAACTTGAGTCCCTCTCACTCTGCTTCCAACAGGTCTCCCCTTGTTTGCCTGTGCTGTCTCGCCTCCTCTTCAGCAGTGACTCAGATTTGCTGGCAGATGCTTGCTGGGCCCTTTCTTATTTGTCTGATGGCCCCAATGAGAAGATCCAGGCGGTCATAGACTCTGGAGTCTGCAGGAGATTGGTAGAGCTTCTAATGTGAGTAGTCTCAGAAAGGGTACAGATTCCCTAATCTTTTCTTTTCTTTTTTCTTTTTTTAAAAAATATATTTTTATTGATTTTAGAGAGGAAAGGATAGAAAAAGAGAGATAAAAACATCAGTGATGAGAGAGAATCATCAATTGGCTGCCTCCTGCATGCCCCCTACTGGGGATTGAGCCCACAACCCAGGCATGTGCCCTTGACCGGAAGCAAATCCAGGACCCTTCAGTCCGTAGGCCGATGCTCTAGCCACTGAGCCAAACCAACTAGGGCTCCCTAATCTTTTCTAAGCTCAGACTGCTGCCCTGTCCCAAGATCTGGAGCCAGGAGAGTGCTGTCAGCCTTAGTGGTCAGCAGGACTGAGTACTATGTACTGTTTTTTACTCACCAGTTCTCCCTCCTCTGCAGGCATAATGATTACAAAGTGGCTTCTCCTGCCCTGAGAGCTGTGGGTAACATCGTCACTGGGGATGACATCCAAACCCAGGTAAGGAAGAAGAGAGCTGCCTGTGGACAAAACCCTTCCTTACCAAGAACTTTGGGGCTGATGGGAGGCAGCATAGACTAGGAGAGAAAGCATGGGCTTGGGTGAAAATTTCCAACTCTGCCACTTGCTATATGATCACGGGCAGCTTGGTTGCCTTCATTTTTTTCTATAAATTGGAAGCAAATTATCATTCATTCTGTGCTTTTGAAGGAACATTAAATTAATCTAACTTAGTACCTGGGACATTGTAAGCTAACTGTTAATAGTTTTTGAGTCCTGGTCCTTTCGAGATATTAAAAGGTATAAAACCTTACCCCTACTTCCTAGACCTTACGATCCTATAGGGACACTACCTCCTGTTAATCTAGACAGGGAGGGCACAGTAAATGGGTTCTCTTCTGTTCAAAGGCTAGAAACCTGGGTTTTCTTTGAGTCTTAAGTAGTTGACATAATTCTGTGGGATTCTTGACAGTTTTTTATAGGTGATCAAACCCACACTCATTTTCTAGGCCATTCTTATGTGTGCGTATGTGAGCAAATATTCATACATAAAATTTACTGGTTTAACCATTTTCAAGTGTACATTTCGGTGTCATTAAGTATATTCACATTGTTACTCAACCACCATCACCATCCATTTTCTTTTCTTTTTTTCTTTTAAATATATTTTATTGATTTTTTTACAGAGAGGAAGGGAGAGGGATAGAGTTAGAAACATCGATGAGAGAGAAACATCGATCAGCTGCCTCCTGCATACTCCCTACTGGGGATGTGCCCGCAACCAAGGTACATCCCTTGACCGGAATCGAACCTGGGACCCTTCAGTCCGCAGGCTGATGCTCTATCCACTGAGCCAAACTGGTTAGGGCACCATCCATTTTCACAGTCTATAATAATAACAGCATAATATGCTAATTAGACTGGACGTCCTTCTGGACAAAGTCAGGGCTGCGAGGGAAGCCCGGGTCCTGGGTACCAGAGGGAAGCCAGTGCCGGCAGCCAGGGGAAGGAAGGCCTACTCTTGCATGAATTTCCTGCATTGGGCCTCCAGTTTTTTCATAATTTCAAACTGAAAGTCTGTACCCATTAAATAATTACTCCCCATTTCCTCCTCCCCCCAGCCCCTGGTAGCCACAATACTACTTTCTTCATGAGTTTGACTACTCTAGGTACCTCATATAAGTGGAACCATATATATTTGTTCTTTTGTGTCACCTTATTTCACTTAGCATAATGTCTTTGAGGTTCATTCATATTATAGCATGTGTCAGACCTTCATTCTTTTTTATGTGTAAACTAGAGGCCCTATGCACGAAATTTGTGCAAGAGTAGGCCTTCCTTCCCCTGGCTGCCGGCACCGACTTCCCTCTGGCACCTGGGACCCGGGCTTCCCTCACAGCCCCAGCTTCATCTGGAAGGTTATCTGGAAGAACATCTGGTCTAATTAGCATATTATGCTTTTATTATTATAGATAATATTGCATTGTATGCGTACACCACATTTTGTTTATGCATTTTATGCATCTGTTGATAGACACTTGGGTTGTTTTCACCTTTTGGCTATTGTGAATAATACTGCATTGAACATTGGTGTTCAAGTTATCTGTTTGAGTTTCTGCTTTCAGTTCTTTTGGATATGTATCCAGAAGTGGAATTATTGGATCATATGATAATTTTACGTGTAATATTTTAAGGAATCACCATAGGGTTTTGCACAGTGGCCATACCAGTTTGCATTCCCACCCTCAAAGTACCAGGTTCCGGTTTTTTCCATATCCTTAACACTTGTATTTTCTGGGGGTTTTTTATAGTAGTCATCCTAGTAAGTGTAAAGTGGTATCTCATTGTGGATTTGATTTGCATTTCCTAATGATTAGTGATGTTTGGCATCTTTTTATCTGCTTTTTGGCCATCTATATATCTTCTTTGGAGAAATGTCTATTCAAATCCTATGCCCATTTTTAAAATTGAGTTGTTTGTTTCTTCATTGTTGAATTGTAGAAATTCTTTATATATTCTTGATATTAATTCTTACCAGGTATTTGTTTTGCATATATTTTCTCCCATTCTGTGATTTAGCTGTCCACTCTATTGATGGTATCTTCTGATGCATAAAAGTTTTAAATTTTGATTAAGTCCATTTATCTAATTTTTGTTGCCTATGCTTTTGGTGTTCTAGGTCATTCTCAACTGTTCAGCACTCCCTTGCCTCCTCCACTTGCTGAGCAGCCCCAAGGAGTCAATTCGGAAAGAAGCTTGCTGGACCATTTCAAATATCACTGCTGGCAACAGGGCTCAAATACAGGTAGAACAAGCAGAAGGGAAGTCGGGGTGGGTACATCAGGTGGGAAGGCATGGGGACATGAGAGGTTGTAGAATATTTGCTTCTAGAAGAATTTGTTCCCCTTTAGAAATTGGGGTCAAAGATTCTGTGTAGTGGAAGCCAGTTTCCCCCACAGTCTCTCATCTACATAACAAGAACAAAGGAAGACTCCCAGGAAGGGAAGAGGTCTCAATCTTAGCTGATTTGTGGGCTGGATTTGATTTCTCTTCTTGAAGTGACTTACTTTCTCCTCCCCATCCCCACCCCAATCCTCTCTCAGGCTGTCATAGATACAAACATCTTCCCTGTGCTGATCGAAATTCTTCAGAAAGCAGAGTTCCGTACAAGGAAAGAGGCAGCCTGGGCCATCACCAATGCCACATCTGGAGGAACCCCTGAGCAGATCAGGTATCATGTTTTTTCCCCCCTTGTCTGGAGTGATATGTATACTCTCCTTCTTTCTTTTCTTTTTTTAAATATATTTTTATTGATTTCAGAGAAGAAGGGAGAGAGAGATAGAAACATCAGTGATGAGAGAGAATCATTGATTGGCTGCCTCCTACATATCCCATACTATGGATCAAGCCCGCAATCTGGGCATATGCCCTGGCTGGGAATGGAACCAGCAACCTCTTGGTGCATGGATCAACGCTCAAACACTGAACTGGCTAGGCAGCTGCAATAGGTTCTAACTGATAAACTGCTAGAGTGGCACTGGAGTCTGGAATAGATACCTATAGACCATGTACCTCTTTTCTCTCCTGGAGAACGGAAATCTGTGATACAGACATCTGTCTCCTACCTCATTCTCCACACCAGAGACTATATGTAATTGTCAGTTATCCATGCAAATGAAGGAGAGCCATGTTATGGTTCATTCGCATCAGCTTCTTTAGGAAATCATTTTGGGGGGTAATACTTGGGAGAAACAAGAAAGTATTTTGTGTATGTGTGCTTGTTTTTTTGTTTTTTGTTGTTGTTGTTGTTTTTTGTTGTTTTTTTAGTTTCCATTATCAATATGAATAGGAGTGGTGGGAATTAGGCAAGTGTCTTGCCCTTAGTAAGGGGATATATTCGGTACAGTCATTCACCACTTAATGACAAGAATACGTTGTAAGATTAGGGGATTTTGCCATTGTGCAAACATCACAGAGTGCACTTAAACAAACCTAGATGGTCTAGCCTACTCCATACCTAAGCTATATGGTATAGCACACAGTTCCTAGGCTACAAGCCTATCTCTACATATAAAAGGCTAATATGCAAAGTGTCCCCTCGGGAGTTCGACTGGGAGACTGTAAGTTTGGTTGCTTGCTATGACGTGCGCTGACCACCAGGGGGCGGTGGGAACGAAGGAAGGCCCCCGTTGGCAGCCAGAAGGCCCCTATCGGCCCTGATCGCCAGCCAGGCCTAAGGATCCTAACCATGCACAAATTTCGTGCATCAGGCCTCTAGTACCACATATTACTATACTAAACAAAATGATGTGACATGGTAAACATGAGATGTGTGAGGCTGCTGCCAGCATAACAGTTATTGTTTGACAGCAAACTTTTTTTTTTAATTAAATCTTTATTGTTCAGATTATTACATTTGTTCCTCTTTTTTCCCCCCATAACTCCCCTCCTCTCAGTTCCCGCCCCACCCTCCGCCCTCACTCCCCACCCTCTGTCCTCATCCATAGGTGCACAATTTTTGTCCAGTCTCTTCCCGCATCTCCCACTCCCCTTTCCCCCCC